GTTTACCAAATTATAAATGTTAGAAGATTAGAGAAGATGTCTAAAAACAACAAGATGCACGAGATTGAGAAGGAAAGCTGAAGGCATATTGCTTACAATGGGGAGTTGGGCACAATTTATGCGTTTATGGCAATCATTCTTTTTCCAAGCTGCCTTTCCTTGGCCATCAAAAACTCCTTCACCTGATAATGTCAATCTATCAATATGTTCAAAAGTAATCCAATTATCTCCCTGAAGACTTTTTGTGCCTGCAATGTTCCTCCAAGTTGAAAGTCAATTGGGCTATTACAAGGTCCTTTAAATATCCCTTCCTTTACTTTAAATATCCCTCCTGGAATAACAATCGCACTAGAACGATTGGACGTGCATGCATCCTTCCATGCATTTGCTAAAGCCTACATGTCACAAGTAACAAAAATTAGCAAACAATTGATCAACTCAACTAGTGATAATATTGTTGTTCATACTGTATATTTACCTTCGTGATGTCAGTACCAGACACTATGTTACCATATTTTTTCAAAGGAAAAACAACATCGGCACTAGATTGAGCATCGACGGTAAAATCTAACAATAATAGCATCAAAATTGTAGCAATCAAGAAACTTGATTGGATCGTACTCATGATGCCCTTGCTTTCTTTTCTTTTTTTTATGTATATTGCTTGAAAACTAGTGAGAGACAATGATATTTCGTTTTAGATTTGGAACCTTTATGTATTTAATAATGCCAATTGAAGAATAGAAATCAAGTTGGATGGAACTAACCGAAGTTATGGTTCCATCTCCCTCTCTTAATCCAAACGTAATTGATAACTAAATGTTGTTTATTGTTTCGCTAAGTTGTTCATCAATGGTTGTGTTGCAATATCTCTCCCACTCGCCTATGAACAGTTGAATCTCAAAGAAACTAGGCATTGGTCATACCCAACGAAGTACTTTTTCACGGCCACGAACTAATGGTAGCCTTGATATAAGATGGATGATGATGATGATGATGATGATGATGATGATGATGATGATGATGATGATGATGATGGTGATGCATAATAACATGATGATATGATGCCTAATAACATGATGATATAAGATACATGATGATGAGATGACTTAATATGATGATCTGATGATGATGCATAATAACATGATGATATGATGCCTAATAACATGATGATATAAGATGCATGATGATGAGATGACTTAATATGATGATCTTTCATATTAAGATGATGTGCATGTATTAAATGTCATGAAACATTATGACAATAAGTTTTCTAAGGCACAACCTTAATTGATGTAAATGATGATGAACGTATGAAGGCCAATGCATACATGTTACCTAGGGTAATGTGTGAAAGATGCATAGGGTTGTGTCATAAGAATGATTTAAAGATAAAAACTACATGGACTTCATGCATATTGTGTGTTCATATACATCAGGTTACTTCCTCATTTATGATGATGAGTATGGATGCGTACACTATAATGATGATAATGATGATCATGCCTTGCATGATATACGGGGTTTTGCTGATCTCCAGACATCAGCTACGAACAGCTAGCTCGACTATGACAGGTCCATCTTAGTAGAGACGACTCGAGTCGGTTTATCCAGACAACACAATGCGTGCCTCAAGCGAACGCTTGGCACTTGTCCTCCTTGTGCTTGACGAGTTTTCCTCCCCTCTCCTCAGCATCTTGCAACTTCGAAAAAAAAATATAGAATTCATGGATTTATCCTATTTTCATATATCTTTTCACATTACTCATCTCAACATGATTCATTTCTGTCGAACATCTTGAGGAACGAGTCAGCTAACTACACTCTGCTTCCTTCTTCCGTCATACCTTGATCAGTAATGTTACTCTCCAAGACTGATAATGTTACTCTTCAAGTTTGGGATATAGTATATCTTGGTCACTAAATGTTGGTCACCATTTTTGCACCGGAACAAGATGAATCCTTTATGCAAAAACTACACTTATTAAAATTAGCATAAAGTTAACTTTCTCTTCATCTACTTCTACTCCATTTTTACCGATTATAAAGCCAAGAAAGTTAACTTTTTTCCATGCAAAAACTATCCTTATTAAAATTAGCATAAAGTTTTTCTTTTCTAAGTGTAATCAAAACTGATTTAACATGCTCCACATGCTCATGCAAAGTCTTTGAATAAATTAAAATATCATCAAAATACGTGACAACATGTTTTCCCAAATATTCTCCAGGAGTGATTCACGAAGTACCTAAATGTGCTAGGAGCATTAGTTAACCCAAAAGGCATAACTAATTGTTGATCAATTAAAGGTATGCGCTTAACTTATGCATCTGCAGAATTCAAAGGTACAAGAGGGGTTTTTCTACCATCTTTTGGGTTAAACGCATGAGCTTAACAAATTTTATCACGCTTCTACGGTAAGTTTTCATGGGTTAGCTAGCAGCTTCTATAGGAAATTTATAAAAGATTTTAGCACCATGGTTGCACCATTGAATGACTTAGTGAAAAAGAATTTTATTTTTACATGGGGGCATTCAATGAATTTAGGAAGAAATTAACCAATGCACAATTACTTTTCTTACCTAACTTTGATAAAACTTTTGAAATTGAGTCTGATGCAAATGGTTTAGGCATAGGTGCTGTTTTGATGCACGATGAAAAACCTTTGATGTATTTTAGTGAAAAACTAAATGGGTGCAGCATTGAACTACCTTACCTATGATAAAGAATTGTTTGCTTTTGTTTACACATTGCAGGTGTGACAGCACTACTTATGGCCTAGAGAATTTGTGATCCACTCTAATCATGAAAGTTTGAAGTATCTTAAGGGTCAAAGCAAATTGAACCGATGCAAAGTAGGTGGAGTTTATTGAATAATTTCCATATGTCATCAAATATAAGAAAGGTAAGGATAATGTAGTAGTTGATGCATTATCTCGAAGGTACAATTTCTTTGTGCAAAAATTCTTTGACTTGAGCATATTAAAGAATTATATAGAGATAACTAAGACTTTGAAACTATGTATGCATCTTATACTACAAAAAAAAAGTTGTTGATGATTATTATGTGTTTTATGAATTTTTATTTAAGAAAAGTAAGTTTTGTATTCCTAAATGCTCTGTAAGAGATTTTCTTGGAAAAGAAGCACATGGTGGTGGCTTAACGGGATGATTTGGGATTAATAAAACTTATAATATTTGCATGAACACTTCTTTTGGCCAAATATGAAGCAAATGTTCATCAGTTTTGTGGCCAATGTTTTATATGCAAAGAACCAAAATCTAGATCACAAACAAATGAATTGTATACTTCTTTGAATGTACTAACGAACCTTGGACTAATATATCTATGAATTTTGTCTTGGACTAATATATCTATGGATTTTGTTATATGGATTTTGTTCTTGGTTTGTTGCACACTAAAAAGGGTAAAGAAAGCATTTTTGATGTGGTAGATAGATTTAGTAAAATGACTCATTTTATTGCATGGGAAAAGACGGAAGATGCAAAACATGTTGCTGACTTATTCTTTATGGGAGTAGTAAGATTACATAGAACCCCTATAATAATTGTCGTTTTCAACTACATGTCATCTTCAGACCTATGGACAAACTGAGGTGGTTAATAGAACATTAGGAGCATTGATTAGAGCTATTATTTCTCAAAATATTAAGTCTTGGGATGATGAATATTTGCCATTTGTAGAGTTTGCATATAATAGAGTAATTCATAGTACCTCTCGTTGTTCTCCTTTTAAAGTTGTTTATGGATTTAATCCACTTACCCCTCTATATTTTCTTATTCCTTCTAATATTTTTGTGAGTGAAGCAGCCACAACCACAAGTAAGGAAAATTTGATCAAAACATTGCACAAAGAGGTGAAGGAGAATATTTAAAAACAAAATTTCAAAGTTGTTTCGAGAATTAACAAAGGACGAAAGGAAATCATTTTTCAAGCTAGTGACTGGGTCTGGATACATTTTCGCAAGGAAAGATTCTCATCTCAATGGAAGACAAGGTTACATTCAAGAGGGGATGAACTTGTCAAGTCCTTGAAATAATTAATAACAATTCATATAAAATTGATCTCCTTGGAGAATTTTCAGTACATTCTACTTTCAATGTTGCTGACTTGAGTTCTTTTGATGTAGGTGATGATTTTCCTGATTTGAGGACGAATCCTTTGAAAGAGGGGGAAGATGATAAGCTTCACGGTGTTCTAAATGTTCCAATTGGACCTATTAGATGATCCAAGATTAAGAAGATTCAACCAGCATTCATTCTTCATCTACAAAATTAGATAGGCTCAGTTCAACTATTATTTCATGTGTTACAAGCTAATTTGTTTGAGGAAGGACCATTTGGAGCTTCAAAAGTGAATATTTGCATGGTTGATGTAGCGGATGAAGTTGATATAAATTGCACTTGATTGATAAGTTGTTAGAAAACTTTATTTATGATTTTTAATTTCATAATTTTTGTAATGGACAAAATGGTAGAAGTTGTTTGTCAAATTGACTTCATCTTTCGTTGATATTTAAGGGCATCCGAGTTAAATTATAACCACTAACTTCGTTAGTGGGGGCATTTGAAGAATCTAAAATTTCTTTTGTGGAGATATTATAAGTTCCAACCAATTATTATGTAAAACCGATGAATGAAATTGAGATCCTTAGATATTCGAGCATCATCTTTGTCATTTCTAAGTTTCAAGCAATTATCGTGGTAGATTACATCTGAGTCATTCAATCAAAGCCTTGAACAAGTTGGGTTGTGGAGTGACTCAATTTAGAACAAGGTTCCAAATCTTGCTTTTAGATCTTTAATGCAAGAGGTAATCTAATTCTAGCCTTGTTTCTTTGTTGATCCAAAATTTGTGTAAGGTGGTGTTAATTTCTTTGATTTAAGGGTTCTTTTTTTAAAAAAATCTTGGATGGTTGGGCTGATGATTATGGTTGACTTATCAAATTTTTATCCAAGAACTTCTCAAAATTTTATCAAGAGGAAGATATCGAGCATCAATTCACCACACCGTACACTCCACAACAAAACAGTATGGTCGAACGAGGAAACAACAAAATAATAGACACTACAAGAATCTTACTGATAAGATAAGGAATCACTACAAGGGGAGTAAGATTCGGATTACCTTGTTGATCGAATATCTCAAGACAAGAACATTGTTTGAGATTCGAATCACTCCCCAAGCAAGATCGATCATGTCTAGCTTGAATGATTCTTGTTGATCAAATATCTCAAGACAAGAACACTTGATTGAGATTCGAATCACTCCACAAGCAAGATTGATTATGTCGAACTTGAATGATTCTACATACAATCTAAACTACATAGAATTGCAAAGAAACTTAGCCATTAGCTAAATAAGAGCACAAATGCTTCTCTTACTATATTTTCCAAGCCTACTTGCAAATACAACCTACATGTCTTCATATAGCCTCAAAATGAAACTATTAAAGGAATTACACTAACATTCATACTTGATGGCCATAACTAACCATTATGTAATTGTAACAAATAAAGAGTCTTAAAATACATTAATGAAATACAATAACTCTAAATTACTCTAAATTGTAATCCACCCAAAATTTATAACAATCAAACTTCAT